GACCAATAATATTGCTGAGTCTTCTATTAATCTTTGTCGATAAACATTTCCCTTTTGCATTCCTCAAGGGGTTTAAACCAATCATTTTCAGCATCTCTAAAAAAAATAGATTCTTCATAAATCCCTTTAAATAAAAAAAAAATGTTCCTCTAATCCTTTTTCGGAATGCTAAACCAAAATTTAGTATTTTCAAATTTCATGAATAATTTTTCCTTATTAACATTTAAAAAGCGCCTGAGAGATTTATTTATTTTACAAGTGCGTCCTGAAATAATATATATATATATATATATATATATATATATATATATATATGTAAAGAAACACTGGAGTAGTCTGTCTAGTTTATCTTGTCTGCCTGTCTAATCGATCTATCTATGTGTCTGGCAAAAAAGATAAGCCTTTAATTACAGGAAAAAAAAAATCTCAGAAAAGGCTGCTTCAATGATAGGAAAAAAAAAACACAGCCAAAAACCAACATTTAAATAAACAAAAAATCACGTGACTGTTTTTGAATATCTTGCTTACGAGGTATTCTGTAAGATCGACCGAGAAATTGCAGTTTAACACCGAATGTCCCTTGGGTTTGCGGCTTTTAGTAAATAGAAGCTTACGATGTTATCAAGCGATCTTGTCTATAATCGGAATTCATGTGCAACCGCCACACACGCACAGACTCGCAGACACATATACAAGGATCGGCTGGAAAGTTCACAGGCTTATCAACACATAAATATTAGCAGACACATCAGTGGGTAGACTAAAAGATATGCAAGTGTACAAAAATACAACAACTAGCCTACTAGCTATTAGATTCTGGTACACCCTAGCCGACTCACGTATATATATATATATATATATATATATATATATATATATATATATATATATATGTATGTATTATAAATTAATTGATTTAAAATATGTTTTTTTTTCTACACATTTCTAATCATGTTTCAAAAATAGAAGATAAAAGCCCCGAATTTAATTTTGCAATTAAATTAAAAGCAATAGTTCCATTTCATCTTCAAGCGAATTTTGGAGTCTATTTTTTGTAAAAAAATTATTATTTTGTAAAAATAAAAATATCTATAAGAACACCGGATTTTATATCTTACTGTTCTTTCTTTTTATTTTTATAGATACATACATACATATATATATATATATATATATATATATATAATTTGTTTGGCGACAGTTTTTCAAGACAAAATTGACAGTTGTTCAGTAGTTTGTTGATGAGGCGGTATTTAAGGCAAGCAGGTTTTGGGGTAGAGTACTCAGTATCCAAGATTGGGATAGACCCTTAGAAGAAGAATCCGAAGTTCTTTAGTATTTTTTGTTTTCATTTAAAAAAAAAACAGTGCTCAATACATAATTATTTAAAAAAAAAATATGATTCCATCGCTACATAAGAGTTTTCATGTTTCAAAAACAGGAGCTGAAAAACTTCAATTTAATTATGAAAATTAAATAGAATTTAAGTATCAAACTCTGTTTCATCTTCAAAAAGTTCGCTTGAAGATGAAACAGCGCTTGATACTTTAATCCAATTTAATTTTTTCGCTCCTGTTTTTGAAACGTGAGAACTCTTATGTAGCGATGGAATCATATTAAAAACGACAGACAAGGTACTACGGTTAAGCATTTTATTTAATTTTTCTTTAGTTCGAAAAAGAGCTTTCTATAATGTTCTATAGTTCCAAACGAGGAGTTAGGGTGGCATTGGTTTATCAAGGCTTTAAAATTTGATCATGTTCATGAGGGTTTAACGAGTGGTTGAAAGGTCGGTCACAAGATCTGGAGGACACAAAGTGGCATAATTCAAAGTCAGGTAAAAAGTAAGCGGGTAATATACAAGACACACGCAGACACACACACACACACACATATATATATATATATATATATATATATATATATATATATATATTAATTTCGGTTGAGCTCTCTTGGGAGGAAGTGCGTGTTTGTAAACTGACTATTATGGCTGATATAGCGAGACTCTTCGGCAATGGCGAATTGAGTCCTGTCGGTCACTGTGTCTTTATCTAAAAATAAATACGCTAAAATTTACCTTCATCCCTGCCGTGCGCCGACGGCTTAGTGGTGAACGCCAATTCAGTCAGTTGAAACAGCGAAACAGTCTGTCTGTGGATGGCATTATATATATATATATATATATATATATATATATATATAATATCATATATATATATATATATATCCATATATATATATATATATATATATATATATATATATATGAAAACTTTCTCAGAGTTAACCTGTAGTAAAAGAAAACTTTTATAAATGTAAAAGACAATAGGAAAACTGTAATATTAGCCGATGTGGGCTTTTTCAAGGCAAAAACGAAATGAATTTATTAAAACAAAGTGACTATTAATAACAAAACAAAATGTCCTTAGCAACTGGAATACATATATATATATATATATATATATATATATATATATATATATGATTGATGTATACTGAATAAATTCCAATAACCAACAATTACTATTCTTAAAAGAGTGCTCAATACAGAGTAGAGTGAATATAATTATTTACTTAAAAATTATAACATAAATATGTTATAAAATCACTACAAAAATAGTCATTTTTGTTTCAACACCTCTGGTGTCTTACCAAGTATACATTCAATATCATCACTTGATAAGATACCAGAGGTGTTGAAACAAAATGGCTATTTTTGTAGTGATTTTATAACATATTTATATTATAATTTTTAAATAAATAATTATATATATATATATAGTCACGAAACCTCTGGGGCTCACTGCCGGCGAGGGTGACAAGTATTAAGTCACAACCCTCATATTTATACCCACCGCCCGGATAATGACGAGTGAATTGCTGATATCGTGATGTACAATTTTAAGCGAACAGAAGATACAACACAGAACTTTCGGGCGACCAAAACGAAGATGTCACAAAGCACGCGATTAAAAGTATCAGCTCCTTTTATTCATACCCCCCACAAAAAAATACCTCCAATAAAAAAAACCTCCACTAAAAAAATACCTCCACCAAAAATACCTCCACCAAAAAATACCTCCACCAAAAATACCTCCACCAAAAAAAAATACCTCCACCAAAAAAAAAAAATAAAAAAATACCTCCACCAAGAAAAAAAACCCAAAAAACTAAGCAGAAATAATATTGACTGAGCATAAAAGAAGAAAATGTCCATATCTAAACAACTTGGGGTAATTCAACTAATTTTTGTCTGGAAAGATGTGTGCGATGAAATTTTCTTTAAAATGTTTGTGTATGCATTTTACGGGTTGGGTGAAAATAAAATAAAAGCTTCTCTTTTTTTTTACACATATCTATGTCTGAGTTTGTCTATATTTCTGAGATGAAGTATTATGTACAGTATTTTTATTAGTCGGACTATTGTCCTCATCTTTGTCGCCATATTTGTCACAACGTTTCGGCCGTTGTACGCTCCGGCCTTCTTCAGGTGGTTGGAATTTCGAACTGAACCCTTTATTTCGATCGCTGGGGTAGACTGTTCTAATTCCACGTGCCATGTTTGATGGATGTCAGTTATCAGTTATCTCCTGCTAATTTTCCCTCTGAAAGTTCTCCACTACCTTAACCAGGAATTGAACTCACCTTCTTTGGGTCTGTCACTAACCAACGCCTTTATCCACAGTGCCATGTGTCCTTGAGGACATCTGGGTATGAACTTCTGAGTATTATAAACCTAATGTTTTCAGCATCATTTTTACCAGTGCTCATATTGCAATTTTTTGCTGTTATCATTGCATGTCTTTACCAGAGGGTAATAAAGGGTTCAGTTCGAAATTCCAACCACCTGAAGAAGGCCGGAGCGTACAACGGCCGAAACGTTGTGACAAATATGGCGACAAAGATGAGGACAATTTTTTCTTTTCATGATATCGCTGTTTCTCAAACGTTTAATTCTGTTCGGCGCAAAGTTCTTTCTCTCAAAATCTTTTTTTCTATTGCACGCTTATCTTGTTATTCTTTATTTTATAACGTCGTATTTCTCATCGAGAACGAAATAAGTTACTGAGGTCGGCTTGCTCATTGTCTTTCATATTCTCGCGTTTTCCGTTCACCAGTTTCAAGTGTAGCAATGCATGGCCGGGGCAGATTGTTCCTTTTCCTTTCTTCGTATATCTACTATGCTTATCATTAAACTAAACGCCTATTTGTTCTTTCAGTTTTTCGCGAACATTCAATTCTGGTTTAACGAGACATATTCTTGTTCCTCTTGCCGTCAAGCTGTCCTGTGAGTATCATATTTTCCAAGCTATCTTTCCTCATTATGTGTCCTAGAAATTTCAACTGTCTCTTACTGGTGTTAAGTATGTTTACTTTTTGTTTCCATTTTCTTTAAAACGTCGTCGTTGCTCACCTGTTCGATCCATAGCATCCTCAGCAGCATTCTGTAGAACCACACAACTTTCTGTTGCTTCAATTCTCTTCTTCAACTGCGATGAGATTGTCCTGCATTCACAGCCATATAGGGGGACAGACATCACATAACGTTCAGTACTTCTTTCTTTGCTTTTAAAGAGGTTATTCTATTTCTTAATACTCTGACTAGGTTAGGGAATGCATTTTGGCTGTCCCAATGCGTCTTCGGATCTCTGTGTCACACTTTCCGTCCTTCTTAAATATTTAAATTTTTTGTATTTTACCTAGATTACGAATAGCATTTTTTTTTATTGAATTTTATACAAGTTAATGTGCTGCGGGGTGGCTGTTTGCTATATAAATTAGTTGTACATCACCCCTTCACCAGAAGCCAAATATGCAAATACCACGTGATTTCTTGAATTGTTTTTTGAAATTCGTAATCTGAAATGCTTAATGAAATGCTTACGAAAATAAAATTGAAAATGTATGATTAAATGCTATGTTTTTTTTTTATCATTTCACTCCAAGCAAGGCGATAAAAGCTATTAAGAAACAAAAGGTCTTAAAGTTGCATCAAGTTAAAATACCGGTTCCCGTACGATCACTGAAGTTAAGCCACGTCGAAGCTGTTTAGTAGCTAGCTGGGTGACCGCTTGGAAATATCAGGTGCTGTAAGTTTGGATAGGTGGTCGGGAGTGTATTGGATAATACGTAGGAATTGTTAATCGGAGAGCCGAGTTCCAATTCCAGTTGAGTTTGTTATATTCACTTATACGAAGATAACCTTGGGAAAGGCATGAAACTACCTCTTCCCCAGAGCTATGGGTTAATTAGTAAGACCTTTATCACAAAACCATTATTATCTAAAAAAATCTTATAATCTAAAATATATTTTCTGGCTTTAGATATCCTGCAAAGGGTTGATAAGCCGTAAAAAAAGAATCAGTCAAGATGCAAGGGATCACTGAAAGTGAAAGAAAAAAAGGGAACTTTAAACGAATAAGAATCTCAAAGGGACAGAAGAAGACGATTGACATTGCATTTAAATGTTTGCAGATCGTAGTGGTCAGGAAAGCGGGAATCTGGAAGAGAGTTCCACAAGCAAAAAGTGCGGGAAAGCAAACTATTAGTGTAGTATTTATAGTTCCAACTAGTAATCTCACCAGTGAAATTCTGAGACCTAGCTACCAATTATAAACAAGGGGCTATACCGCTGACTTTCTCAAAAATGGATCAGGTCGGGGAATATTCTTTGCTTCTGTTACCATGTAACTCAGTATGATCTGCCGCTTATTATACTGTCATATAAAGCAATCGTCGCCATCCGTCTGATGGCTTGACATGGAACTGGAATTTACTCACGCTGTTAAAAATGATGACGTTTATATCTTTTCCTGGGTATGACAATAAACTACATCTGGCAGCAAGGCCTCTGATCGCGAGATTGGTGGTCTTGAGCAGCCTAAAACCATCAATAAACTGCTATTCTTCCTAGGCCCACCCAGGGGTGGTAGCACCTGTTAGGAAAATATAGGAAAATAGTAACCTCCCAATTTTATAAAGATCGTAGATATGTGTAGAAAAAGGATCAATAATGCTATGGTACGGCGGAGGAAAAGTGACTGAAGCCGAGATGCCTGGCCAAGACCGATAACGTTGCAGATTCTTCTTTCGATTTTGTCAAGAATCTCTTGTCTGATTGATTTATGTATTGCGACTTATCAACCTTTTGCAGGTAATTTAAATCCAGAAAATATTTTCAGATTGTAATAATTATTTTGGAGATAATAATAACTTACTGATACAAGCCCTACTAATTAACCCATACATGGGGAGAAAAAGTGGATTCATATGTTTCCTAAGGATATTTTGTGCTAATATATATATATATATATATATATATATAATATATCTGGAATCGCAACTCGGCCCTCTGATTGCCAGTTCGGAGCCGTTATCCATTCCAGCGTTTCTCAACCTTTTTACCCTTGCGTAACCCTTAAAATAAATTACTTGTCTCAAGGAACCCCTGCACAAAAAGCAAAATTATATACCACATCTTTCTCATTTTATTATCATCGTAGTTCACGTGGTAAATATCATAGGATATACTTTTTGAGTAACTGGTTTAAGGAAAAAGTAGTACTTCTTTGTCAAATTTTTAGGTAATGCTAAATTAAATTCATACTGTTCGTGTATATACTTCATCAGGGAGTTTTCATTAATACAAAAAATTCTATATTCAAACGTAAAAAATACGTAATCAATATCGTATGATTATAATAAAAATGTAAACAGAACAAAAACAGATAATTGCTGCATCAGTTTTTTTAATTTTTTTTTATCCTTTACTGACAATGTTGAAAAGACATAAGGTGAATCAAAGCAAAATGTCCCCTGAAGCAATAAATGGGCTAAGAAAATGTTACTTTTATAGCGATTTGATAAAGTGAAACATGCTTCTCTAATGTGAAGCCTGTGATTGTCTTTTCCTACACAAATACTTAACTGGAGGTCGAACTTTAAAGAAACACACACAGATTTCATTCTGAATTGAGCTTATCACATCTGTTCTCGCGGAACCCTTGGGGATCTTTTGCGGAACCTTGAAGCAATAAATGGGCTAAGAAAATGTTACTTTTATAACGATTTGATAAAGTGAAACATGCTTCTGTCTTTTGCTTCAGAAATACTTAATTGGGGGTCGTTTAGATAAACACACACGAATTTGATTCTCAGTTGAGAGGAGACAATTTTTATCTTTGCTCTTGATACTTGTTAAAGGGTGATTAGGTATTTCTGTAGTAAATATAAAGAAAAAAACAAAGAAATAATTAATTTTAAGTACATGTCCCGTCCGCTGACTAGTGAAGGTGGTTTTACAATGGCGCCTTACAGACATCACTAAATATATTCCCAATGATTGTTATATTTTTTAATAACATAATAAATTAGATAAGATGATGTCTATATTACAATATCACAATAACCAAGAACATATTGTGTGTGTTTAGTAATATAACGCAATATGAAATGAAATAAAAAGTCAAAAGTGCATTAGCTTATCTCACATGTCCTGCGGAACCCTTGCGTACCTTTTGCGAAACCTTAGGGTTCCGTGGAACCCCAGGTGAGAAAGGCTCCATTAGATCATCTGCAAATCCAAGCTTACAGCACCTAGTATTCCCAAGTGGTCACCCGTATAGGTATTGACATTGCTTAACTTCACTGATCATAGAGAATCGGCTTTTCTAGCAGTAGATTTTCTAGATTTAATAATCGTTTTAATATAATCGTTCATATTCATGTAAGTGGCAAATGTGAGACCAAGTAGTTGCCATTAGTTACTCTCCTGGACTTTAGCACCCGCCATAATTATGAGAACCCCCCCAAAAAAAGCTTCTTAAATAATTTAAAAGAAAGCAGTTTCGTTTTAGAAGCTCAATAATAATGGTTATTCAATTATATTTATAATAATAATTATTAATTCAATAATAATACTTACTTAATAATTATAATATATTATTTAATAATTAGTTAAAATGAAGTCAATAATTATTACTTAACAATAATTATTTATTTAATAAAATTTTTTAATTATATTTATAATAAATATTACAATATTTTTGTAATGATAGATATTAATTATATCTTTTTCATTTTTATCATATTCTATTAGACATAGTGGCTTTACTGTTTTCCTTGCGGTAAAATGATTTTTAAAAATAAAAAATTATGTTGAGTATATATTATTTAAACTGTAATAATTATTATTCATTATTTACATTATTCGGACAATTGTCCTCATCTTTGTCACCATATTTATTACAACGTTTCGGCCGTTGTACGCTCCGGCCTTCTTCAGGTGGTTGGAATGTCGAACTGAACCCTTTATTTCGCTCACTGGGGTAGACTGTTCCAGTTCCACGTGCCATGTTTAATGGATGTCAGTTATCAGTTATCTCCTGTTAATTTTCCATCTGAAAGTTCTCCACTGCCTTAACCGGGTATTGAACTCATACTCTTTGGGTCCTGTCACTGGATCTAACAAACATCTTTATCCAATGAGCCATGTGTCCTTAAGAACACATGGCACAGTGGATTGAAACATGGCACGTGGAACTGGAACAGTCTACCCCAGTGAGCGAAATAAAGGGTTCAGTTCGACATTCCAACCACCTGAAGAAGGCCGGAGTGTACAACGGCCGAAACGTTGTAATAAATATGGCGAATAAATATAGTCCGAATAATGTAAATAATGTACATAATACCTCATCTCAGAAATATAGGCAGATAATTATTATTCATTTTAAAGAATTAAGCTATACTTAAAATCTCCCGTCCTGGGTATGACGATAGACTACATCCGGCAGCAAGGCTTCTGATCAGAAGATTAAAGGTTTTGATGAGCGTGGAACCACCTCTTAATTGCTGTTGTTCCCAGGTCCACACTGACTCGGGCTGGTAGACCATATTAGTGTCCTAGCTATGGACAAATAGTTAACCTACAGATTGGGGTTAAAATACTATGAAAGTATAAAAATACTTTTTGGTAATAGAAATGCCAGCTATGCATTTTCATATTAAAAGACGAGCAATTTAAATGGAAAGGATACCAGTCTACTAGGGCGACAAGCTAATCCCCGTTGCAGACGTCTGTTCAGGCACATTTGTGTTTGTTCAACACAGAGCCTACCTGTGGTTTATACTGCAAAAATGCTGAGCGGACCTGCAGTTTCTGGGGCTGCGTGCTTTATCAAGTCTGATCAACAGTTTGATCAAGGCTAGCACGGTCAAAACCTCGGCCACGATGACTTGTGATTTTGTGCTTGCGCAACCACCGACGGCTCCCAATTTCACTCACAAGGCTTGGGTCAACCTGTGGTATGGTTTTCAGGCCCTTTCCAAAGGTACCGCACTATAGGAACACCTCTCCCAGACTGATAACATCAAGAAGTCACCTTCCTGAAACATTGAACATGGTGAGAATCGAACCCGGATCTCTTTTTACGAGTTTACAGTTTTGTAAAAGAAAAAAAATTCAGTAATACATTTTCGTAAAGGAAATTACTAATGCTCCCAAGAAGATGAAATTTCAGGATTAAATGACCCATAAGGAGTTGATATGCCGTTAAACAAACAAATCAAATCAAATCAGAGAAGCTGAGTATCATCTACCATGTATTCAACTGTGAAAGCAGAATAACATGTATCATAATTTTATTGCTTCAAATCTTCCAAGAAAATTAAATTTCGGTATTAAATGACCCATAAGGAGTTGATATGCCGTTTAAAAAAACAAAACAAAAAAAAAACTATATCAAAAAACAATTTAAAAGGGTAATTAATTCTTATTTAATCAGTAATAAATGTATAATTTCTTAAATAGTTCATAATTATTTATTATATAATATATATTATAATTATTGATGATGCTTAACTTTCATTTATATGTCATAATTACTATTCACTTAATAATGATTAATTAATATTTAATTAATAAGAAATATTATTATTTATTAAATAATATTGATTCATATTTTTTTTTTATAATTATTAATTATTATTATATGAATAACACTTGTTATCATTTAATCAATATCCCAATTGTTTGAAAAGCATTGAAAATCGTATTGAATTATTCATAACTTCTTTTAAATAAATCGTTTACAAGT